ACTCACTTGGTAGCCCAGGCTGGCCTCGAACTCACAGAGATCCGCCTGGCTCTGCCTCCCGAGTGCTGGGATTAAAGGCGTGCGCCACCACTGCCCGGCTACCAATGAGCATTTTCTAAAACAACGTATTTCCTAGTATGGGGCTTCATGACATAAATATATAAATAAGAGTCCAAAACAGTAACAATAACATTCAGATATGGTTCTATACATTCAACACACATGTACAATTTTAAGACTGTATCAAGCTCATTGATTACTTACGTTCCATGAAGTAGGGTCCAGGCTCAATTCTCCATACAATCTGTCCTTTTTGGGTTCCCGTCACACCCCTGTTTTTAGAGTCCCAGAAGTTGGCTGGAGAATTCTCATCTGGTAAAAGACCAAGGAAACACGTTTAGCTTAATTACAACCTGCCTTTTCTTAGCTCAAAGATTAACACAAGTTCTAAAATCAGTAGAAAGAAGATAATAAAGAGGGCGTACATCAGTGAACGTTGTTTCTAATGGCCGCCTCCTGCACATTATCACCCCAAGTTTCCGCATTTGCATCTATTTGAGGAAACTGGAGGTATAACAGGAAAGGTGATGGCACCTTTGGGTCTGCCCAGGGTGCTGCCAAAAGATAATACTGCGAAGCACAAGGTGGGGAGCTACTGCAGCCTCAGGGCTGAGCTGAGCTGTAAGAAGGGGCTGAGGCAAACTTCCATCTACGAAATCCTTATCAAATGTAGGAAAAGAGCGAAACCAGGAAAATTCAACAGAACTCCAGGTGGGTGAACGAAGGACTCAAGGAAGGGAAGCTGAGCCGGGCTGTAGCACAGCTTGGCGGGAACACAGCTAAGAGGCTCCAGGAAGTTGGCCCGTCTTCCAGGACAAAGAGGGTGAAGTTTGAGCTAATCTAAGAACAGTAAGAGGCAGGACCAAGAGGGGCCCAGAGAACAGGCCAGTGGACAGACAGCATCTCCCAGGCTTTCATCACACCACACAGAACCTGCAACATTCACCTCACATTCTACAGCAAAAGCCAACATGCTTGTGCTTAGGAGAAGCAGGGATGCTCTGGCCGCATCTGGCTCTGCCCTGCCCTGACGAAGGCCAGAAAGAGCGACAGGCTACAAGCCGTTCACAGTGGACCAGCTTGAAGCTTCGTCTAATGCCTGAAAAACAGTGGCACTGGCTTCTCAGTTCACCTTGCAACTGCTATGTTTAAGAACATTAGAACATACCTCTGAGAGTTGGGGGGAAAGGGATGGGATAAAGTAAAGCCTGCAATAAAGATGGGAAGACAGAGAAATGATTCATCAACAGAGGAACAGTCCCAAGTGGAAACCAGTCCTCTTCTAAATGTGAAAGAAATCAGAAACAGGCCAGAATCGAGGGCTCAGGAGGATTGCTGCTGTTGTTTATGTTGGGCTGGGGTTCAGGGTTCTAGAAGTCACAATGCTCTGGGCGGGCTGGTCTTGGCATGTCATTTGACTTTATCACATTGTAAGTCAATGATTCTTTAGGATGGAAGAGCAAGAAAGGCCACAGTTCCTAAGAACGATTCTTAGGAATCGGAAAGCATGTCCCATCTGGGACATCCCTCGCTCTCCTGGGCAGTCCATCAGACAACCGACTCCATCACAAGATGTGATGCAGCTGCTTATGCAGCAGGCGCTCAGGCAATCACTCCACATTGGGTTTAAATGGTGTATACGGTGCCTGGGGCAGACTGCTTGTTGCCTGGCCACTGAACTTCTTTGCCAACTTAATTCCGATTTTGTTCAAGGCAACAGTTGTGCCTGGTTAAAAAATACTCACATCCTCACCATCCTTTGCCGCTAAAGAAAGCTGCCCGTGGCCTAGATCTGGCCAGTAAGACTGAAGTGAGAGCTTATTGGCGGGACCTTCAGGTAAGATTTTTCTGCTTTGAACTGGGCGGGGAAGGGCTCAGCATCCTTTTGCTTGTTCCTCTGCAAGTCTCTTTGATGAGAGCCGCACATTAAGGAAGCAGAGCAAGGAACCAGAAACAGTTGTGACAGTTTGGAGAGTTCTGAAACCATCTGTATTTAGGCTTCCTGCTACCTAGGAACAAGGGAGTTCCTGTTTGGCTAAGATACCATGGTTGTGTCTGTTAACTACAGATAAACATTATTCCTGATGGGTATATTCACCATAAGACCCACTAGTGATCTAGACTCATCATTACTGGCATGCCCAGGAATAACGGGCTTGCATCAATGCTCTAGGTTAGACAAGGATAGTTACTTCACTTGTTTTTTTTTTTTTTTTGGTTTTTTGTTTTTTGTTTTTTAACAATCAGACCTGCTTAGATGGGGAGAGGCATTCTCATTTTTTTTTCCTCGAGACAGGGATTCTCTGTGTACTCACTGTGCCTGTCCTGGAATTCGCTTTGTAGACCAGGCTGGCCTCAAACTCACAGAGATCTGCCTACTTCTGCCTCCCCAGAACTGGGATTATAGGCGTGCGCCACCACCGCCACCTGGGGACTTCTCAGATTTTTACAAACTGACTTTAACTCTTCCTCACTTGGAAAACACAGGAGAAAAGGGAGTCGTAGCAAGGGTCTGCCTGCTCCAAAAGCTTCTTTAGAGGAAGTGGTAAGCAGCTGAGTGTGGTGGTACACGCCTGTAATCCCAGCACTTGGGAGGCGGAGGCAGGAGGATTACAAATTTCAGGTTAGCCTTGCTATAGCACAGCCCTGTCTCGGAAGAACATCAACAACAAAAATGTCAACATGAGAGTGGTGAAGCACACGGGCTACCCCTAAAAACCTGTGGCCGTCACCCTTGACCCCAGGAAGGTGGGGAGGGGGAGGGTAGACAGAGCTAAAACCAGAGTAAGCATGAGGACCAGGATTGCGCTGACTATAACGTGCCCGTGAGGAAGTTGTGCAAGGGTATCTGCGCTTTCGGTCCCACTGAGCTTTTCTGTCTCAAACAACCAATGAAACTGAACTAAGTACACGCTGGCCGCCGCCGTGACGCTGGACGCCGCCGTGACGCTGGACGCCGCCGTGACGCTGGACGCCGTGACACTCAACACTGTGACACTCAACACTGGCAGAGCCAACCGCTGAGGAGAGCGAGGACGGTAATAAAGGAAGAGAATTTGTCTCAAGGGTTGGATCTCCAAGACCGGGGGAATCCAGAGGCGTTACATCATCTTTTACATATCCTCGGAGGGGGGCAGGGACGGAGAACCAGGGTGGGCGTCTCTCGACCCAGCCACATTCACTGAGAGGTAGAAACACCAGTCTCAGGACGAGGGAAGGAGGCAGAGTTGACTACAGGTATTCAATTCACCCACCAGGTCAAGTGGACCAGAAGAAATCATATCATCTCTGACTTTAACGGTTCATACTCCATATAGAAAACTCCATTTGGTGGCTAATAAATACTTGAGAAACGCATACCATCTTTACCGGCTAGGGGAATGTAAATTAAAAGTACATGGAAAGCCCATCTTACCCTAATCAGAAGGACTGTCACCAGGAAAACACACAACAGACGCTGGCGAGGATGTGGGGAGAGGGGTGTTGATGGGAATGTAAATATTCACAACTGTAAGGAAATCAGTATGCAGGGTTCCTAAATAGAGAAATACCGTATGATCTAGCTCTACTACTTCTGAACATATACTCACAAGAACCAGGTTTAGCTTACATTAAATATATCCCCGTGCTCATTTCAGTTAAAACACCAGAGGCAAGTTATGGCATTGGCCTAGGTGCCCGTCAGCAGATGACTGAATAAAAAAAAAAAAAATGTGGTAGAGATGCATAAGGAGTTTTATTAAGCCACCAAGAAGAATGAAATCATGTTGTTTACAGGGAATCGCCTTGTGTTTTCTTCTCTTATATGGAATGTGGGTGGGAAGCAAACAAATAAATACAGGATACTGTTAGGGATGTGGAGAAAAGATCGGACCATTCAATCCCAATGCTTCACACCGTACGTGAGTGCTCAGGCTCAAAAGAATGCACACAGTGCACACAGGATGGGATATGGAGTAGAAAGCTGTGGTGAAGGGCTGATCCTTGGGGTTATCCCTCACCATAGTTTGTCAAGTAGGAGAGAGACATGCTGTTAGTACTGTGGTTACTGTATTCTGACATTTTCCCTAAAGAAATCACATTTCTCATAACCCATTCCTTCTTATTTTTTCTATTTAACTTATTTTTCAGGGCAGGTGATCTTTAAACCCACGGCCTCATGCATGCCAGGCAAGCACTGACTCACTGAAATACACACCCAGACCAAGTCATTATGCCCAACAAAATATAAACCTTCTGTCATGTAAAGATGTCCCCACCCCAAAAGAAGAACAGTAATCAAGTATAAAGAATTCTAAATTCTCTACAAGTGCAATATAGAGAGATTAAAAGCCCAGTTTTTCCTATGATCAAGTGAAAAATACCTAGTCGTTAACATCCATTACAAATTGTTCTGTCTGCAGTTGGCCACTTTCCTTCCCCGGATCTCTTAAAGGTAATTCCAAATCTACCCCACCTCCCTGTGTTCTCTGTCTAGTTACCCTCTAATGTGTAGCACAGAGTCACGTTGATGGAAGACAGGAAGCCTGATCACCCTTGCCTTTTCAAGATTATACACACACACACACACACACACACACACACACACACACGTATATGTTCATGCATCCTGGTTTCCTTCTTGTTCAAGGTTCCACTCCCCTCATGGACAGTGTTGTTGATCCAACCCCCACCCCCAATCCATCACCTTCTCTCACTTTAGCCTTTAACCTCTCCCCATAGAGGGGCCTTCCTATTCCTCATCCAGGAGACATGTCAGCTTCCATGAATCTGCCCTGCTCCTTGCCCACTCTCTTCCCTGTTCCTGTTCTCATCTCCTTCCCATTTGTCTTGCTACCAGGAATAAAATTCCTGCTTTAGTCTAGGAGTATATACTGCTTCTCTAGGAAGGAAACTACAGCACAAACCAAAAGGACAAAGGACTAGAGATTTAATGAATCAACCTACCATGTAATTGTAAAGAATATTTTTAGCTCTATTCTCAAAATACCATGAAAACGCAAAAACAGAGACAGAGATGGGTGTGAAAATTATTTATAAAAGATCCATGTTTTCCTATATATAAGCTTTGGACTTACAGAAAACCTACAATAAATTATCTTTTACCATAATGATATGTAGAAAATACGACCAGGCATATTAAACATTTTCAAATATATTTTGGATTTTGAAATGTTTCTATATCCACAGGAATATCTCTAAGATTCTTCATCCCCGCCCCCCAGGTTCTAGAGATATAGTAAAAACAAACAAACAAAACCTCTTCAAAGGTCCCACTCTAGTGCCAACCAACTCGGGGAGTCAAAAATAGACACGAAATTTCTGAAGAAAGATTCCCATGATAGTCTGTGTCAGATTAATGAAAAGCCATGCTTACAAATATTCCTTTGCTTCAAAATAATTCTATCTCCTCTCCATATTTTGGAGGGGGAAATAGGAATATAAACATAAGATGATTTTCAATTTACCCCTTGAACACAAATTGAAGATAACTATGCCTCAACAGTGGGTCACAAAAACCCAGGCTCAGTTGTGGCTGCATTCAGGAGTTGGGCATTCAATCTAGTTAGAGGTTTGAAGAAAGCTAAGATGTGAATAAAAACTGTTGTTCTACATCTGAGCAAGGCACACATCTTCGGCAGAGACTGCAGGGCTCTGCAGAACAGTTGTGATTTATAGCGTGTGGTAGAGGGTTACTGGACTCTCACCCTGACATTGAACACTGACTTTGATGGAGATCTGAAGCCCAAGACAGAGGGGAGAGGGGTTTTCACCTTTGAGTTTACCGAACAGATCATCAATTTTATCACATCTTTTGAGAAAGCACCAACAAACTTCCTCATGAATTGTAAAACCTAGCTTTTTTTTTTTTTTTTTTAAGCCAGTCTCCCTACGTGCCCAATTTGTTACATCAAAATCTTGTGTGGACATTTTAGGGGCCAGAACAATAGTCTGAGAAAAATACACTGGAGATGGTAAGAAAGGACAATGGTATATCATAAGACAAAACAGAAACAGAAAGGAGGTAGGGGGGAGGGAGGGGCAGGCTAATTAAGAAGAGCCCTTGACAGGACTTGGGCTTGGAGACATCTGTGCATTAAAAGGGACTATGGATGGGCTCAGTGATAAGAGCACTTCTAGAGAACCTGGTTTGGATTCCAAGCACCAACACAACAGTTCACAACCATCTACAACTCCAGTTCGGGGGGGTCTAACACCCTCCTCTGACCTTTGCAGGAACCAGGCATGTTCATGTTGTACACACCCACATGTCGGCAAAATACCCATATACAGAGATGAAAAAATCTCATCATCAACAACAACAACAGGACTATGGAAGGATGCCTGGTGGACAGCGCCGTTTGCTGCTCCGGATGGGAGTCCTGGCGGGGTGGAACAGAGTGGAATGCCCCTGCAGGCTCCTAATGGCACCTGTCAGGGGAGATGCCTTATTGATATCTCCTATACAGGACGTCATCCACAAGGGAGGGAGCACACAAAGAAAATGAAATGCTTCACTAGATCCATGCTGGGAACAGAGCCAAGTCCTAACCACAGGCAGCCAGAACGTATACCACTCCGGACATTCAGGGCAGAGGCAAGAACTCTGCCAAGCACTTTCCTTTACAAAGTGTGCGACTTAAACTAGTCCATCAAATGATGGCTTTGACAAGGGAGGATGCCACTGACAGATCAGTGAGAGGATTCTTCTGGACTCTTTTCAGCAAATGCATCCCAGGAATTTCAGCTGCGGCCGAGGATATGAGAGAATGTGAAGCAGGTGAGCAGCGGCTTACATGAGAATCCATTTCAAGCACAGACGTGATGTGGACGTGTTGCAGCTGTGTCTGCTCTGCTCAGCTCAGTTTCTGGAGATACCAAGTTTCCAATGAAGGCTTGCACCACCCTGCACGACAAGGCCGCCCACTCCTCTCCAGTTATGGCTCTGGCTTCATTTCCCTACCTTTCTTCTCTTCCCCAATCCACTAGATATGTTGACGTCCTGATGTCCTCTAAGGACTGGTCAGGACACACCAGAACACAAGGAGATCACATGACAAGCTTCACACAAAGGCCACTGAAACATCCTAAATATGTTTTGTTGTTGTTGTTGTTGTTATTATTATTATTATTATTATTGTTATTATTAATTTTTGCAGTGCTTAGGATCGAGCCAAAGCTTCATCATGCTAGACAAAGACTCTACCATGGAGACATATCACTAGTTCAGTAAGCTCCTTCTTAGCAAAGACATTCGGAATATTTCTAAAAGACTTACAAATTTTTCCAACTGAATTCTTTCTTGTGCAGGATGTATAAGAAGTGAATATCTAGTAGCATTCTTGTGGGTAGGACTGAACCCATGGCCTTGCACATGCTAGGCAAGAGCTAACCCTGAGCTACAGCTATCCGCTTATCTTTTTACCTTTTGTATTTGGGATAACAGGGTCTCACTGAGTTGTTCAGGCTGAGCCCAAATTCACTCTACAGCCTAAGCAGCCTTGGACTTGTAATCCCCTCTTCAGCGTCCCCAAAAGCTGGGATTATAGCTCTGTGACACCAGGCTGGCAAAACTCAAATTCTTTGAAATTTTTCAAGTGAAACAGTGACTAAAGGTTTATGTATGTCAGCCAGGAAACCTGCATTTTATTTGGTTATTGTAAAAATTTATAACAAATAACACCGTGAAAGCAGAGTGAGTTATGTGCAATAGATTGTGTAGTCAGAAGTCTTCCTGTGTCCCGCCCAGTCCCACGGCCACTCAGACTCAAATCAACACAGAGAGGCTTATATTAATTACAAACTGTATGGCCAGGGCCTATGGCTCAAGCTTCTTGCTAGCTAGATCTAACTAAACTCAGCCCCATTTCTATTAATCTATATGCTGCCACATGTTCTGTGGCTTTACCTGTGTGCCATTACATGCTGCTCCTAGAGAAAAACATAGAAAATATTTCAAGATATAAGCTTGGGCCAAAACCTCCACAAAAGGACTCCAATAGGTCAGGAAATAATAGTAAGAATCAATAAATGGGGTTTCATTAAACTAAAAAGCTTCTGCACAGCCAAGGATACAGTGAACAGGGTGATGAGAGAGGCTGCAGAATGGGGGGGGGGTTCTAGATAGAATTACTATCCAGAATATATGAAGAACTCTAAAAAATTAAATATCAAAAAATCATCCAACTTAAAAGTAAGAAAAAAAATTACAAATAGCCCATACACTTTTTTTGGGGGGGGGGAATTACACCGTCTTTAGCATCAGGGAAATGTAAGTCCAAACTACACGGAGCTCATTTCACCCCAAACAGAAGGGCTATCATCATGAAAACCAAATACAACAAATGCTCGCACAGATGTGATGGGGAGGGAGGGCGAAGAAATCCTCACCCGCTGTAGGTAGAAATGTAAACATGTCCAGCCACAACGATCAATAAGAAAGTTCCTCAAAACCACAAACAGAACTACCATGTGACCCGGCAGTCCCACTTCTGAGCATACCCTTGAAGGAATCTAAGTAAACTATGGGATAGCTGCACTTTCGTGCTTATCACTGCACTATTCACAGTGCGCAGAATCAGCTGAGGTGACCATCACTGAATGGATAGATTAAAAATACAGAATATCCATCATGAAGTTTTAGTCAGCTATGAAGAGAAACAGAATTATACAATTTTCAGGGAAGTAGAACTAGAGATGTAAAATCAGTCAGACTCAAAAGGACAGACACCACGCTTTCATCACATGCAGAGTCTGTGTTTTTTGTTTTTGTTTTTTTGTTATTTGTGTATGTGTGTGCCTGTGATAAAAGCAGAAGAGGACCAAAGCAGGAGGAAAGAGAGAGTCTAGATGTAGAGGGAGGCAGGCACACAGAGGGTAATATGAATGAAAATGAAGGGCAATATGCATTTTCTCTTCTATGGAGATTCCAATGTTTGGGTGTGGATGTGGAATGTCCTCCATGGACTCGCATATAGGAACAGTTGGCCCAGTAGGTGGCGCTGTTTGCGGAGGTTGTGGAACCTTCAGGAAGCAGGGCTGAGAAGAAGTTGGTTGCTGGGGACAAGGCCTGGGAATTATAGCACAACCATTTGCAGCCAATCTCTCCTCACTGCCCTGTCAGTACCACGTAATAAGCAAGTGCCACACACTCACTCCACTACAGACATGAAGCTGTCATGACACCATTCCTTCTCTGTCATGGTAGACTGAATACCCTGAACTACCACGTTGATGAGAAAAGTACTCACACATTAGACTCAGTCAGTATATATAAGATCAACTAAAACATTATAGATCAGTTAAGTATACACATATCTGACACTGTTTAATATATTTATACACACACACACACACACACACACACACACACACGAAATGTAAAAGCAGGAGGAAGACAAAGACCATGTACAGGAAGGAAACAGAGCAGCAGGAGGTAGAAAGGACAAGGGAGAATAATTCAGAGAGTGAATATGTGCAAAGTATAATGACATATGAGCACATTCATCTCATAATCTATGATTCTGTATACTAATGAAAACAGTAATTAAAAATACAGAAAAAATACATTTTCTATAGGCTCTAATTTGGGGCAACATGGTAATAGGTCAGAGATAGTTAAACAGTTTAAGCCTCAAAGGAATAATAAAAGAAATTATAGATAGGATAAAGAAAATGACATGTGTTAAAGCATAATTCAACAAATATTTACTGAGTATCCATTATCTGCTGGGAAGTATTCATGGGGTAAGGATTCAGACGGGATAAAAAGATGGAAAGGCTCCGTTCTTGTGGAGATTTTGTTCTGATGGGACAAGTGGCCATAATTAGATACACAAATACATTCATGTCAGGTGCCGGGCACAGTCCTAGCATTTTAACTCTATTAGCTCATTTAAATCACCAACAGTTCTCTGAGGTAATGTCAGTGGTGTTAAGAAACATGTCTAAGATAGTATATATCTTAGTGTGTGTGTGTGTGTGTGTGTGTGTGTGTGTGTGTGTGTGTGTGTGTGTATTATAGTACCCACATAGTAAGTCCAGGCACCTTGCTCCAAAGATTATGTTCCTGTATGTTGTGTGATATTTTGATCTCACTCTGATACTCCCAAGATTGCCAATAAAGTTTGCCTTGAGTCAGAGGATGGAGCTGGCTACTAGATGACCAAAATTAGCCATAGAAGTTTTGGAGGGCTGAGGACAGATAGAGAGATACAGGAAGTAGTAGGGTGGGGCTTAGAGAGGGTCTCGGCCTCTTTTAGATCCAGGAACAAGAGAGAGAGAGCAGGCTCTTATCTCAGTATCTGACTCCCCAGTTTTATTGATAAAGAATAATTAGATAAATGCTTCACTACATGCTACATGTCACTGTCTGTCCATATCACAGCAAGCATCCAAACTGAGGACGCTGGAAAGTCACTTACTGGAAGTTTAAGCAGGGGACTGAAGTGATATGCATTAAAAATAAACAAACAACCCCGTCTGTTGTATGCAGAGCAACCTGTAGAAGGAAAGAGGACAGTCCCCGATGCTTATAAACAGGCAAACACTAGCCACAGAGCAACCTATAGAAGGAAAGCGGACGGTCCCCAGTGTTTACGAACAAGCAAACACTAGTCCCACAGTCATAACCTGGACATAGAGTTCTTCCTGTCATCCTTCATGTGCAGAAAGCAGTGGGACATGTAAATAGCCACCCTTAAAACAAAAGCTCTGACCCTTTAGTTCTGCAGCTCTGAAAGGTGGCTCACCCATCTCTTTCCTCTCCACATCAGTCCACCATCCTGTAATCTCATTCTTTATGTCTACCACACACCCCTCTCTTTACCCAAACAGTTCCTCAAAGTCCAACTTTCCCCTTGCTCAACCTTAGTCAAGACAGAAAGCTCCTGCTCTCCATCACTCAGCAGAACCCTCAATGCAACACACCATTGGCACCGAGTCCAACTGGACCTTCTACATGGCCAGAGATGTGTGCCTTCTGTCTTTAGGTGGTGAGTCCATGCTGCAGATGCCATGGGTACCACAACCCTGGACTGGCTGCAGCAGTGTGGCTACAGCAGCTCAATGTTTCAGCCTCATTTCTCCTTTCTATGGCATGGGCTCTGTCTCCTGAGTGTGGAAAATACTAACAGTACCTGGCTTAGAAGGGCTGCAAGGAGAACACGAATAAACCATGCAAGCCAGGAACATCGTAAGAGTAAAACATGCATTTGTATAAATTTTCGTCTACTTCAACCTTCTTTCAAAGGGAGCTGATTTTCATATGCAAAAGCACATTTCTTCAACCTCATTCCCCATGTTTTCATGGTTTAGTTTTTAATTCTGATTTGTGGTGTGTGTGTGTGTGTGTGTGTGTGTGTGTATGTTTGGATACATTCATCTGGAAGCCAGAGGACAAGCTCAGATGCCACCCTCTGAAACAGAGACAAGGTCTCCCATTAGCCTGGAGCTCACCATTTGGGCTAGAATAGCTGGCTAGTGAGCCCAGAGATTGTCCTGTCTCTGTTGACTCAGCAAAGAATTACAAGCACACCCCACCACACCCAAACTTTCTTTTTCTTACAAGGGTTCTGGGATCAAACTCAGGTCCACATGTTTGGGAGACAAGCACTTTACCAACCGAGTTCTCTCTCCAGCTTCCCAGTTTTCCCTTTTAATTTTGTCTAATTTCTCACAAATACCCATTAATAAAAACAAAAGCATGCTTATTTTTGTTTCCGAAACTTCCTCTTTTTTAGTATGTGTATATCTTTAGTGTGGGAATACATGTGCACATGTGTGCATGTCTGTGGAGGCCAGAGGTCAACGCTGACTATCTTCAGTCATTCCATGTCTTATTTTCTTGAGACAGAGTCCATCGTTGAACCTGGAGCTCACCAATTGGCTAGAATGGCCAAGCTGTGTGCTCCAGGAATCCTCATCTCTGCCTCCCCAGTGTTGGGGGTCACAGGCATGAGCTGCTGCACTCAACACGAGGATCTGAACTCAGGTCCTCATACCCGCATGGCAAGAACTTTCCTGATGGAGACATCTCCCCAGCCCAAACCTCGGCTCTTTGACCAACACTTGCCACAAGGCCGCACATCTGGGAC